AAGGAACCCCCTAAACCCTAAACCCGTAAAAAGAGCTCTTAAACGCAACTCTCAGAAAGGAATCCTTCAGAGAGCGACTCCCAAAAGGAACCCCTCCATAGGAACCCTCAGAAGGAACCCTCAAACTGTGGGCCCTACACCGTCTAAAAACCCTCAAAGCCTTGAACGCTAGACCTTAAACCCGAACCCTAAACCAGAACCTGAAACCCCAAAGCCTGAACCTTAAACCCTGAACCCTTAACCCTGAGCCCTAAACCCTAAGCCCTAGACCGGAAACGCGAAACCCTAAACCCGAAAGCCAAAAGAAGTCCTTCATGTGCACCTCCGGCACGTGCTTCTGCACGTCGTAAGCCTCGGAAGGGCTGATCTCATCGACTGCCTTGGCTAAGGCGAAGTCGAAGTCCGTGATTCCTTGAGTGCTTAGGGCTCCGGGTTTGGGATTTAGGCTTCATAGGGTTTAGGGTTTAGGGTTTCGGGTTTAGGGCTCCGGGTTTGGGATTTAGGTTTCATAGGGTTTAGGCTGTTTAGGGTTAGGGGATTCTTGGGAGTCAGGGTACTACCTCAGGAATGAAGATTGAAGGCCTGAAAAGGTGGGATGAAGGTAGCTAGGACCCAGGATCCTTGTACAAGGGTTCTTATTTCGGGGATAAACCCTAAACCCTAAACCCTCAACCCTGAACCCTAAACCCTAAACCCTGAACCCTAAACCCTAAACCCTGAACCGTAAGCCCTAAACCCTGAACCCTAAACCCTAAACCCTGAACCGTAAGCCCTAAGCCTTCATCCCATCCTTGGAGCAGGCTTGAAGCCCTTTACCCTAAACCCTAATATAAGGGCCTGAGTAATTCTAGCAGAGTTTGGGGGTATAGTATACTATAAGTGTAACTAAAACAAGGAACCCCCCAACATAGTATCAAGGAACCCCCAAAAATAGTATAGGTAATTCTGGAGGCCCTTATATTAATTTAGTTAATTTAATTAACTTGATTAATTCAAAAGTAATTTAAAAAGAACTTAAAATTAATTTACAATTAATTTACATATTAAAACCTAAAGGAACTAAGATTCCACCGGAAACGTAGGTGGAGATCTCGGCCGTCAGGACCGCCCCGTGGGTGCAATGGTGCGCGAGCTTCAGATTCGGGTGGTGGTTCATGAGCTCTGCCTTAGGGTTTGGGGTTTGGGGTTTAGGGTTTGGGGTTTAGGGTTTAGGGTTTAGGGTTTGGGGTTTAGGGTTTAGGGTTTAGGGTTTAGGATTTAGGGTTTGGGGTCGGGGG